ATATGGGGAATTTTATTAAAACTATATATTTGTATGTTATTCTATCAAACAGGTATCATATTCACAAATCTTAATCCTGACTCAGATGTTTTACCAAAACATGTGCATGCCAAGATCCGTATGTCAGTAGATATAGTTGAATCCACTTGGAGATATGAAGATGGGTAAGTAAATAAAATGATTCAGCATACTGCAACCCTATATTTCTATGTTAAAAAGATCTATAATATAATCTGTGTTCAATTTTCAGCTACTGGTCTCCGGGACCTCGCGACAACATAGCATATGACCTGAAATATCTTCAATCTGGATTTGTTTATTTACAAGATATGTTAGAACATGGTATTATCGAAGCCATGTTTAATATTGAGAAATTAAACACTGGTGTCTATGTCCAGCAATTTCCATATCCTTGCTACATTGATGACATGTAAGTATATTTAACTCCCGTGTGCACACAATTAGTTTTTGCAGTTAGCCTGTCTGTCTGTGTGTCTGTTCCACTGATATCTCTTGGTGTATAGATAGATGCTCAGGACCAATGCTCAGATTTGATTAGGTTTTGGTAGAAATCCATGCATATTTATTACCTAATTTGCATAATGATTAGTCAATTTTCAGGTTTTGCACTGATATCTTAAATACTAATCATCACATTTGAATGAAACTTGGTATATACTTCCTAATTAGCATAACAATTCATAATTTTTTGTTTCTCATCCCATTTCAACGAAACTTGGTTCATAGATGGTTTGTTGCATTGCAAGTAATTTTGAATTAATTTTTTTTTTTTTTAAATGTTTTTGTGCCAGGCCAGTTCTGGACATTGAGTGTCACTGTTGTCTCTCCTGACTTTTTTTTTGTATGTACAAATTGCAATTGCTAGTGCTGACAGGGTCTACATGACAGGGCTGTGTGGCCATCTTCCTAACAAATAGGAATTTTAATGCGGTCAAACACTATCACCTGTGGACCTTAACCAAGATTCCCCCATAGTCACATTCGTTAGTGAATGAATCTCGACAAGTGGAATTGGCCTGCCCATTGAGTCTGTGGCACACTCACCCAGGGTAGGGGTCGACCCTTTGATGCTCAGCCTAAGATAGGATTTGATTGAATTAACTTTTAATGTGTCTCCAATACTCTCAGCACACAGGATTTCTTACTAAGCTTTCTTTGATATGTGATTGGCATTCATACAAACACAGTGAATAGTTTAACTATAA